ATTTATTTATTTATTTATTTATTTATTTATTTATTTACTCATTTATCTGACAATGACATGTTTAGGCTCACAGCAGCAGAGTATGGCTCCACCTCAGTGTCACCAGTTAGGGGGAAAAATTACAATATAATATACAATGAAGAACAAAGAGGAAGATTGCTATTGAGATATTTGATATTGATCAGCTAAATAAAATGCCATTTTCCTACCATATAGAATCAAAAATCTCCAAAACGACACCCCAAGAAGCAGCCACATCCTAAATCAACAAGTGCTCCATCTTCTACAGCTAGCCAAGTGACATATGGCCATGGAGGAATGAGTTCATCAGCTGATCCTGATACTCGGCATTTTTGTTTCTCTATTGACCTCAGGACCATTAGTGATTTGGACGTCAATGCCCCCATTAACTGTTTTCTTAGGTAATTAACCAATTTCCAGTAGTAAATCAATTCTAAAATCTAGGTTTTGATTTGACTTGATAATGACTCGGGTCAACGTGGAAATGTCATCTACTCTTTTACATATTTTATATTTTTAGTTTTTACTCTGTACAATTTTGCAATTCTATAATCAAGTTATTATTTTTGTTGTTATTATAAATATCATTAGTATTAGTATTATTTATGCTGCTGGGTAGATTATGACGCATGAGCCATAAGGCCAACAACTCTTACATGGATTTCCTCTGTGCCTTTACATAACAAATATCAAGAGAAACTGTTTATGTTGTCTTGTCTAATAGGGATTCACTACAGCAATGCCTTGTTTGTAATCTTGTAGGTATACCTATCCATTTTTTGGTTCATCTGCTCCAGTCATGACCAGTCCTCCAGTAGAGGTATCCCGACACATACAAGTACTGCTGCCCAAGTCATTCTGTGCTTTTGATTTCGCTGCTTCGCCAACGTTATTACAGGAAACCTTTATGGGGTGAGTTAAATATTTGACACTTGCTGCTGCTGCTAAATGCAACGTTGCACACGACCAGTAAAATTGTTTCATGCGTCCAGCTCTGTAATGATCGCATGCAACAATGCATGAAAAACAAGGAATTGAGAATGCTGTTGCTGTTGAATGCAACGTTGCACACGACCAGGAAATTGCATCATACATCTATCTCTGTAATGGTCGCAAAAACAAAGAAAATTGAGCACAATGCGGCCCCCAACATTTTAGTTCTCCAATGCAACATGGCAGCAATGAAATTGTATTATGCGTCCATGGACCGTTGCATCCTTTTAACCAGTTTTATTTGTTATTCCAGGATTCCCCTGGTAGTAGAGGTATGGCACAAAGATCAAATGGCTGGAAACCTTCTTCTAGGCACGGCTACTGTTACTCTTGGACACATTCTGGCTGTGGATAGAGCGAAAATGCTGGTAAGTGCCATTCATGCACCCAGTGCTTGTGTTACCATTCCTTTAACTTTCACAATACCTTCAAATTTTATCGATACCCTAAAACAACCTCTGGGCTGATCAAAGTCAGGGCA